CTTGGCAGGAATGTGAGTGTGTGGTGTGTGTGTGTTTGTGAGGGCGTGTGTGTCTCCTATGCTCAAGGTCAGCAGCATGGCCACCATTACTTCAGCACCTCCGATCCCCATATTTCCTGTTTCTAAAACTGTTCCCCAGATGTCTGTCTGGCTCACCCCTTCACTGCCGTCAGACCCCTAATGACACACAGGAGTGTCCGTGGGAGACACCTTCCCTGACCACCTCCTCTAAAGTCCCTCCGTCTTCACTTTCTGACCTTCCCCTGCTCTGTTCCCTTCATGACACTTGTCGGTACCTGACATCATATTCTAGACCTTTCCTTGTCTGTCTCCTCCCCATGGAGCATGAGCTCAATGAGGGCAGGAGCTTGTCTGAGCTCATTGCATCCCCAGTGCCTGCAACAGGCTGCAAACACCTGTGGGTGAATAAACTTGTGTTCCCAGGGCCCTCCACCTCCTGGTGAGTATCTGCCCCTTTCTGGGGCTGGTGGTAAGGACAATGTGTAGAGCTTTTCCTGCTGTTGCCCCAACATAAATTGTTCTTATTACCACCAGTTTTCAGAAATTACCATTCAGCGATGAATAACTTGTCAAACTTTTCCTGCCCCTCAGCACTTGAAGATCACAAGATTTTTCTATTGGTGAGCCACCCTCCCTGTCTTGCTTTGCTCTCATATCCTCTCCCCTCAGGTCCAAACAGAAGTCCTCTGTCCCCGCTCACAGCCCTGTCCTCCCCAGGAGACCCCAGGCAGTCTCTGTCTCCCACCCTCCTGTCCACCCCCAGGGAATCATCCTCTCACCAGCCAGCAGGTGCCTCTGCCAGGGGACGCGCCCTTTGAGAGCAGGTTTTAAGGGGCTCCATGCGTGTGCTGTCTGCTTCCTCTGTGAGAGAAGCTTGGGCTTCAGAGACACACAGGCACAGCTGTCCCAGTGTTGGGCACAGGCTGTCTCTCTTCCCGGTACGCTGAGCCTCTGCCCGGGGCAGGAGCACTTCCTCAGTCATGCGGGCCGGGGGCAAGGTCTCTGCCCAGGACCCTCCCTCTCCTCCTTCCCGTTTATGTTCTGTCTACATTTCTGTCATGTGGACAGAACGTGGCTTCTGCCTTCTGCCGAGGCCTCTGCCTTCTTTAGCTGTGACTCCTCGCCCTATACACACACTGTCGCTCACACTCACATACACGGACGTTCACATACACGTGCACACGCCCTGTTTGGACCAGCACAAGCCTATGACGTCAGGATCGGGGCATTTCCCGCAGCTGCCTGTTGGACGCACAGTCGCCTCCTCCTTATGCCTTTCTCATCCGCTTCTGGCATTTTCCTTCAGACCAGGAACCCTGGGAAATACATCAGGAATGTTCCTACAGGCTGTCACTTTCGCTATGCATTGATCACCTGTTGAACTTTGTAAAGATTGTGATGCTCAGGTGAGACCTGTAACCCATGCTGGAGACACTTGCAGCTGCAGCGTTCACCCCGAGATAACTCGCAGATTACAGTCCCAGCCTTACCCGCAAAGTTTGTCACGAAATATCTAGCTTTTATTATTAGTTTTGTATTGCTCTAGTATATCGATATTCTTTGGAAACAAATGACATAATTCTGTTTATAGCATTTTGTGTTTAGTAGTGGTGTTTCCATTTACAAAGTAAAGTAATTCTCGATCGCTGACAATGTCAACTCCTAGAAAACATAGCCTTCCTGCGCGTGATGTTAACATCGTTCTCGAATACTTGTTAGTCGAAGATTCATTTGATGAATCCCAGTTATTGAAAACGAGTCATATTTGCTTCAGCCTCAAAGAGTGTGTTTACGTAAAATTAAATCAACGCTGGCAGTGAGCTGCACTTTTTTTTCTAAACGGTAAATGGGTGAAAATGCTGCTTCAACAGCTGCCCAGCTGATGTGGATGCCCAGCCTGGCTGAGACCACGTAAAGTGGGGTTGGGACAGCCCCCTACCACCTGTGCACAGGGAGGGTCTGCCGATCCTGTTCAAATGCAGACTCTGACTCTACAGGTGTGGGATGGACCAGACAGTCTGCATCTAACAAGCTCTCAGGGGAGGCTGATCACACTGGCCTGTGGAGCACACTTTCAGCAGCAAGGCTGATGTGGACTCCTGTCCTCTAAGAGGACGACCCACCTACCCATTCGGCGCTGGCCTCTGCTCTGTCCTGTTCCTGGATCTGTCTGCACCACACAGAGAGCCCCAGAGGTCCCCAAACCCAGGGAATTATTTCCGTTTGTAGTACAGAAACCCACTGGGGACCTGGGTCTCCCTGTGTTCCCAAATGATCTGGGAAGGTCGAATGTCTTCCCAGCTAGAAGGTCACAGAGATGACTCTGGTGGTGAGAAAGAAGCAAACTGGGTGGTGACTGGTGAGGGGACCCACCTACTATCTCTAGTGTCACCAGCCTGGCCTCTGCTTCCAGGGGCAGAGACCCAGAACCGGGTTCTCAGAAAGAGCTGTAGTTCGCGGGTGTGAAGGGGAGGTGACCTGTGTGTTCTGGGGAGAGAGGGCGGTGGTGGGAAGTCGGGTGGCTGTAGGCCCCCTAATCCTCGGGGGTCTGTTTCAGGGAGACCCTCCCTTTCTGTGTCTGTTGGCTGAGCTTGTCCATGAGCTCCCTGATTGTTGAGGCAGCCTCTGTCGTGTGCCTGGGGGACTTTTTGTGGTCATGCTGCCTTCCCTATGGGTGGTGCCAGGCAGGAAGTGGAGAGGTGCACAGGGACCCCTGACAGAGCTCCTAGGCCCCTAGAAGGAGCAGGGGGAGAGAGCAGGCACGTGGGAGAGGCTCAGAAGTGTCTGTGGGATGGAAATCAGGCTCCTTCTCCACCTCCTTTGCCAAAGCCAAGTTCTTGTGTTAATTTCCCGAGTGATGTCTGTGTGTCTCAATATCGCCCCCTGAAGGGCACGAGGAGACTTGTGGCCAATGTTGGTGCTGCCCTAGGGATGCGGACCAAGGTCCAGAGGGTGGGAGTTGACCCTGAGCCCTGCCAGAGATGAGCTCTGACCTCGATGCTAAAGGGCTGGTCAGCCTGGGTCCGGGTCACTGTGAATCCCAGACCGCCTGACGTCATCCCAGTGTAGGGTTAGCCCAGAAAGAGGATGGGCATTATCCAGAGGGTTATGGGTTCAATATCAGAAAAATGGTTCCCCAAAGGGGATGTGCTGTTTCAGGAGGAGCTCTCTGCCCTTGAGGTTTCAAAGGAAGGCTCCAGTGAGGGGTCTTTTGATTTCAGGAGAGGACACTGGGCCGAAGGGTTGGTCCCCACAATGCCCTGTGTTTCCCTGAACACCGTTCTGGGGTGTTACATCAAAGTCATCTGTGTCCCTGTCTTTTACCTGCTCTAGGCCTTCCAACAGAGCCCCGGAGCTGGTGCAGCTCCATGTGGAGACTCAGCCAAGACACCCTGGGGTGAGGGGAGGGCCCTGAGGTACCATCAGTGCCTCTGAGATGGAAGCAAACGCAGCTCGTGGTTTGTCCTGCCCCATCCTGCACAGGAAGTTCCCTTGGTCCCTGGACACCAGGGGCTGCTGAGATGTCTTCAGGGACCACAGGCAGGTGTCTCCATGGACCAGGGACCCTGGGAACAGCGGATGGCCCCCTGACATCATTGAGGTCAAGTGGCTTTCCCCCTCCCCTGTGGTAGCTCAGCTTGGAGGAGGATCCAGAGTTTCTCCCAGGTCAGGTCTCTTGGAGAAGAGGAAGGGCCCCCTGGGGAGACAAAATCTCCCTCCCAAGGTCAGACGGGAGAGCTGTGGTTTTCTGGGAATGAAGAGGGGTCCTTCCCTCACTGTTAAGGGGTCCCTGTCCTCCCTCCTGACAGTGAAATGGGTAAAGTTCCATCCCTGGGACAGCCGCAGGCACGAACTGACCTCCAGCTGTGCTGACACTTGTGCCCCTGTCTATAAGGAAAATGGTCTGACCTGCAGGTGTCAGTGTGGTGACAGTCCTCCATTGTGTGGATTCCTTCATCCATTTAACACGTGTTTATCAAGCATCTTTTGGGGGTGAAGATAGGCAGACCTGATATCCCACCTGAGTGTGTCTCACCCTCACAGATATCATCACTGGAGGGAGCTTCTGTTCAGAGTCTTACTCTGGGCACAGAGAAGGACCTCCCTTAACTCATCAGGGGTTAATCCCGGATGCTGACTCCGTCTCTGCTTCTTGGTCGCATGCGGGCTCCTTGTCAACCTCCGACTCCCTCCTTGCCCTGCCCCAGGCCTCAGCAAGGAATCCCCTCCCCAGGGTCCCGGCACTTGGGTGTACAGCGACGAAACCCTGGGCCTCATGTAACCGTCCCTGCGTCCCAGGTGCAGCCCCTGACGAGGCCACAGTTCTCCTCGTCCCCTCCAGGGGGCGCAGAGAGACACAGACAAGACTGGAAATAAACGCATGAACCTGGCTTTCGTTAAGGTGCTGGAAACGCAGCCTGATTTTTATGCCACAGAGAGAACGGCCGGGTAATAACTCAGGGGATCGGGGCCACCTTGTGGGAACGGGCCTCCCAGTTTTGGTGATGGACGCCTGTGGAGACTGGCTGTCCCGTCCAGGGGCACTTTGGCGGGTGGTCGTGGTGGTCAGGTGCGCCCAGGAGCCGCCCTGACCGCTGAGAGCGGGATCGGAGCTTCCTGATGTTTTGGGACACTGAGGGAAGGTTGGGATTGAGTCACCAAGAGTGTGCTGGACTCTTAGGCAAAGGGGCCCTGCCTTCCAAACGGCGCCGAGGAGCCAAGGACATCAGGTCGCAGGGACAGCCCTGGGGGACCCCGTCTTGAGGACCAGAATACCTCAAGCC